TAAGAATCACTAGGAAGACATTGCCCACGTGTCTGCTAGGAAGACATTACCCATGTGTCCATATCGTCATCATACTTCCCTCCGGGAATAACGGGTCCAACTCATGTCTTCTCAGAGTAGTTGACCAGTGAGGAGGCCACATGTTAGACTCCATACACATGTAAGCCCTGGCAGTCTTCGTTGTTGGACCTCATCAGGGTCCATCATTGAAGACCTTAGCCTAGCGCTAGGGGCTATAAATACCCTCTCACTCGAGAGGGTCAGGTATTGATTCATTCACACTCTCATACTCACTTACTTGCATTAGCTCTGGACCTCACTTTGGCGTCAGAATGTCTTACATGTACCCCCCCTCCCACTTCACCTTCAACTGTTTCTCGGCTTGAAGCTCGCGCCTTTGACAATCCCTTCTGGCCAGGTACGATTATTTTCAAATAACAATAACATCACTTATCATTCTCACACAATAATCTATAATAACAACAACAATCATAATGCAAATGTATAATGAAATGTACTCATTCTTCAATATATATGTGGTACCAAGTTTTTAGATGTCAAGGTTATGTTACTAAATTATCCACGTCCCAGTTCCTCTCTAGAATAATGTTCTCTCTGAACATGAGAACGTCATTGGTTCTCTCTGAACCATGACCTTGTTTACCTATCTCCGATATACATGAATGCTTGAAACATAACAATAATATTCAACATCTCATACTCAACAACAAATAACATTCACATCTCGTACTCAACAAAGTTCTCTCTGAACATCCCAACTTGCCAATGTAAGGCCAAAATAGTAGTTCTCTCTAAACAACTCAACTCAACATATTATGTAATTGTAACTTAATCACATAATCATATAATAATCATAAAATACTCATCAACTCAAAAATACTCATCAACTTAGAAAACATGTTAATATTTACTCATACTCATCAGTATGGTAATATTTATTAATATTTTAGTTCAATAATATTCATCAATAGAGTAAAACTCATTATTACTCATGTCAGTCCATCCACATGGTCATAAATAATTTTTCACAAATTACTCATCAACAATATCAACATAACTCTAAACATGTGAGAGTTACTCAAATTTTACTCTAACAACTCATAAAGTATTACTCTACAAATTTCAACAATTCAAAATTAACTCTTTTGGATGACGACCTTACCCAAGTAATAATATAACTCAAAACAACTCTAAAAAGTCAAATATCTTAATTTTAACTCTAAATCTCATTAGATTTAACTCTAAACAACTCTAGCAAATTTATAATAACTCTAACATATAATAGACTCAACTCAATAACTCATCAAAATAACCCTAAAATCATGTTTCTTGCTAGTCACACATCTGATTCGAATAATTATTCAAAATATCAAATGAAGTTAGAATCAAGCAAATGAATATGTCTCAGAAAGCTAAGAGAGTCTATTTTAAGACTATGGTTTTTTATTTCATGACTTAATACCCCAACTGGTCCAGTTTAACCAAATAACAAGAACTGATACTCACACCAGGCAGAATGTTTCGTCTGACTTCAATATAGCACAAAAAATTATGGACTTATGATAAAATTATGAAACTCTCTAGTCCAAAATAACGTTGAACCCTCTTTCTAACATAACTAACTACACCTCAAACAAACTTATGGAACTCAAGTTATGCGTGAAACAAGATGACCAACACAAGACTAAAACTGACTACATCTCTGGTATAAAAAACAGTCAATTGTTATTGTTGTAGCGATCCTAGACCAAATTTCTCCTCTTCAAACTAAAGATTATTGCATTAGCTTTTTAATACAACTAACGACACCTCAAACAGACTTATGGATCTCAAGTTACGCACAAAACAAGACGGTTAATTCCCTTCTATGTCTACCTATAGTTTTTTGTGTTTTCTCCCTATTGAACATATTCAAACTCGTCTATTTGAGTCCCAACCTCCCCCAAACGCTCAACAAATTCGGCCATGAAAATCATCAACATATTTTATCAAATCAACAAGATTTATCCATTACTCCAATAATAATCAACTCAAAAATGTTATTATGATCCTCATCCCATTGCCTTATAGTTTTATAGCCAAAATCTTATGCTATGAGATAACCTTTATACCCTCGCCTTATCAAAAGGCATCAATGGATAATATCAATTACTCTCGCCTTATCAAAAGGCATTAACATACATATTAATTAACCTTTTTGCTCCATCGAAACCCAATTGCCTCAAAACACGAATCCACAGCCACAAACAATTATATACCATAATCCAATTATTATAATTTTTCCACAAGACACAACCACACATTATCAAACAACAACAATGCATCAACAAGGATTCAAGAAACAACTATTATACAATTTTATAACATATTCATGAGAATAAGAAAAACCTATCAATCAATGCTTCAAAATATTTTACCCAAATCCTTTTTGGACACAACACAACAATCACAAACATAGAAGGAGAAGAAGAAGATAGGAGGGTAAGGATCCCTCACTATTCAACTAACTAAACACCCGTATATAAGAGTTTCCCCTTACCTAGAATTTGTCGATCAATGAAAACCTTTGCCCTTTTGGTATCTACCACTCTTTTCTTTCCCACGATCACTCAAAAGCTTTTGCCTCTTTTCCAAAAATCTCATGATCTGCCTCTTTTCTCAAAATCTCACGAACTGTCTTTTTTCCAACTTTTGCACGTGCAACACAAAAGTCTTCTCACTTTATCTATTTATTTTAACATAATATAGAAATTAATCCTCTCACCCCTCAACTCTTCTCGCACCTTCACTAAATCTCTATTTTTATTATTTTATTTTTAATTTAAATAATAATTAAAATAATAATTATCTAATAATCCTAATAACTCAATTATCTGAATAAAAAATAAAAAATCTATATTTTTCCTCCCAACTTTAAAATATTTCCAATTTTTAATATTAACTAGATTAAATAAAATAACCATAATTCAAATAAAACACACATATCATCCAATTAAATAAAATAAATTAATATAAAACTCAATTAAAAATAATAATAATGATAATAATAGTAAAATGATATTAATACTTTTATAATTAAAATTGGGGTGTTACACAAACAGATCTAATAGTTAGTTTACTTGTGTTTGTATATTCTACATATCCTAATTATTAACTACTAATTGTTTGATTTGTGCATGATTAAGTTGTGAATGATTGCACATTGACGATTGTTAGTTAGTAGAATTGTATGCTACCAATTATGTGCTAACTGAGTCCATGGATCCTTTCCATATTTGACTCCCCTTTTGTCCTATAAATAGAAGAATTCCCTTTATTTCATTTCATACAAGAAGACGTATTTCAAATATCTTTCTCTCACTCCCCCCTCTCGGTCTCTTTATATACTAGAAAAATTGCATCAAAGTTAGAAGTTAGAATAATGATGTGTTGGAAGTTGAAATAATGGTGTGTTGGAAGTTGGAATAGTAATGCATTAGAAGTTAAAATAACAATGCTTTAAATATCTATTATAGTGCGATTAGGCGAAAAAGCTACAAATAAAGGAAACTTTCCCTATTATTCTTTTCTTATTCTATTCTCTTCTCATATATTCTTTTTATACTTAGGTTCCTTGAATCCTTAAAATATGTTTCATCTAATTTTTCTAACCTTATCATGACTCAATCAAGAAAGCAAAGAAAATTTGTACCTTCCACAAGTACTCAATATCTGTTGTATGAAAGCTTTTTGAGTGAATAAGTTATAGCATTGCGGAAGAGCATTAGATTAAGCAAGGTTAATGCCAAAAAAACATTTGAATGATATGTTTTATGTAAGAATCTCGAAGTTAAAGCAAATTTGGATGGTAGAAGATGGGAGAATTTCAATGATATTTTATCAAATATCATCAACCGTTCAATAGGGATGGAATTTTTTTACGAATGTAGAGTGAGAAAGAAAATAATTTTAAATAGTAGAAAGACACAAGTCTGATTTAACAGGGGTGAAGTTTATAAAATAAATAAAGAGATAATTTAGGTTTAATAAATATTATTAAAAATCAATTAAAATGAGAAATAGAATAAGGAAACACATCAAGAGAAAAAGAAGAAGATTAAGCAGCTAAAAACTTTGACACGACAATTTTGACATAGTGGTCACTGACAACTCGTGATCTACGACACATAATTTCTTTATGTGTTTACAATTTTGTTTTATCATAATAGATCGTAAAGTGGGAGAGAAACAAACGTTCACTTATTATCTAATTTTCATTTTCATTAAACCTTTATACATCCTTTCTCCATTTCCTCTTTTCCTTCTCCCATTTTTAAAATTGATTTCATTGTCGCATCTATTTAGAGTTTCTTGAACTTCTCCCCAAATATGTGGGATCTAGACTCATAATCATCAACAACTCACATTTGATACACCTCAAATGCATAAAGGCTGTGGATTATAAATGCGGGATCACCAATGAAACTATATTTATCAATATTTTTTTATATTTTAGTTTTGGTAAGAGGAAAACATGAAGAAAATAGTATGATAGATTGAGAAATTTGAATATTTAAAATAGTGATTTAAATTTCAAATTAAGGTATAGAAAAAGAATGAGGGGGAAAGAAGTCTTGCACTTGTAATGTTGTTGGATAAAAGAAAGACAAACATTTTTATCATATACTAATTATCCTTTTAGATCTTACATAATGTGAATTTATTCTCATCAAAAGAACAATGTACTAAGTAGTAAAAAGATCCAAACATATTCTACCTTTTCATGAATTGGTAGGTCCTAACATACATGCTCATATTCATACATTTAAATTCAAACCAAAAGTGCCCAAACCAAAACCAACGGTCAATAACTTTCAAAACCCTATCCCACTCTCAACTCTCCACTCTCCACTCTCCACTCTTCAATCCCATTCATCAATTCCACAAATCTTCCACAATTCTCGCCAATCTGTCTCAAAAATCCAATCTTTCTTCCATCAATGGCTGCCACTTCCTTTTGCCACCCATCCAACGATCCCAAAACCCCCAACAAACCCTCAAACAACCCCATTTCAGCTTCCAAAATAAGAGTCATAGTTAGGGTTAGACCCTTTCTTCCTCACGAATTCACACCAAATAATGGCAACAGAGTTTCTTGCATTTCACTTTTGGATCAAGACTCTCAATCTCAAGATGAAGTAGCCGTTTATCTCAAAGACCCCTACACCAGGTTTCAGAAATTTCATTTCCCCCCTTTATAGTGATTTTTGATTAGGCGATTTTGGTTTTTATGATTTTTTTTGGTTTTGTTTCGTTGTTTGTTCTTAGTCGGAATGAGTGTTATCAATTGGATTCTTTCTATGATCAAGAGGACGACGATGTTTTTCAGATATTCGAAAAGGAAGTAAGCCCCATGATGCATCATATCTTCAATGGATGCAACGCGACTGTGTTTGCTTATGGGGCTACTGGCAGTGGGAAGACATACACTATGCAGGTGAGAGAGTGTCATCTTCATTCTACCTCTTTTTTGTGTGATTAATTTTTTGTAAAACATATTTTTTTTTAAATTGGGTTCTAGCAAGTAGTAACAGTTAATGACCGGGTTGCCATCGCATAAAGGTTTGTAGTATATGGTAGTATATGATTGCGGTCGTCGTAGTGTGAATTAACCATAATTTGTTCTTCATCACAAAAACGGTGAATAACGGTATCGGTACCTTCCGATACCGTTTTGTAGCGGTCGTTTTTGCGGTAAAGGGCTATTTTTTAAAACATTGGTTGTAAATGTAAGTTTAGAGTTTAGAGGGTGGTGAGGAATAGTATTATTTTTCATGCTTAACAATTATAATTTTCTGTATACTGTAAGTTTTAAGAGAAATTTTGTGGTAAACGACCCATTTTTGCAGCTAGGATATGATATTTGAAAGAGAATTATGTCATCCTTCATCAACTGAAACTTATGTTTTGCAATCTTGGATCCTTTGGCTATGCACAATTTGGTTCTGCGCAATCGGTAGCTGGATTTACAAAATACAAATTTTTACGGTAGCAGGATTTACAAAATACAAACTTTTATGGTATTAATGCCAATGATAAATGAAGAGAGCACGTGTCACGATTTGTATAGAATTTGGGAGGAGTAATAGTGTATCTAGTATATTTCTTGTATGTGTTGTGTAGTTGAAGTAACTGATGCTTGGTGTTGCAGGGAACTGAAGAACATCCTGGCTTGATACCACTAGCAATGTCAAATATCATTTATATGTGTCAAAACACTGGAAGCACAGCACATCTATCATACTATGAGGTCTACATGGACCGATGTTACGACCTCTTAGAGTTAAAAGCAACCGAGATTTCAGTTTTGGACGACCGAGATGGTCAAATTCATCTTAGGGGACTGTCTCAAGTTCCTGTACGCACAATGTCTGAATTTCTAGATGTTTTTGCCAGCGGTGTTCAGAGGCGCAAAGTTGCACATACAAGCCTTAATGATGTATCCAGTAGGAGTCATGGAGTGTTTGTGATATCTGTAGTATCTACTCCTGATGAGACAGGAAGATCTGTATGTGGAAAGCTGAATCTCATCGACTTAGCAGGTTACCGCCCACTCAATTGGGATAACAGATTAGATTTATTGCAAGCAACAGAAAGTGGTAATTTGTTTAAGGTTGATGCAGGTAATGAAGATAACAGAAGGAGCTGCAGTGAAGGGATACGTCTTCAAGAGAGCGCTAAGATAAATCAGTCCTTGTTTGCACTGTCGAACGTGATATACGCGTTGAACAACAACCAACCAAGAATACCCTATAGAGAAAGCAAATTGACCCGTATATTACAAGACTCTCTAGGGGGAACGAGTCGTGCGCTGATGGTTGCTTGCCTGGTAAACTAGACATTTTATAGTACTTTTCTCCTCATTTCATGTTGGTTTAGCTGAATAGTAAGAAAGAGCCTGAGAGGGTGATAGATAAGTTGCAGATTACTTGTTAAACCATTAAAGTTGCCTGAGTTGCATCTTAGTTTGATTCACCTATTAATTATGATCAGCGTTGAGACATTTGTTATTCTCCCTGCATTCAACTAGACATCTGAAATGTGAACAAATGTGGTTGGAATAACAAATATCCAGATCCAATAACAGATCTAAGATATAATCTGATTTCATATTTTAGAATATGAATTTTTTTTCTAATTCAGTCTCATTAAACCAACTTATAAGACAATTACTGACTAAACCGCAAAAGCATTACTGATGTAAAATCTCTAGCCGATATGAGACTTACATCAATTAGATTCAGTTTTAAATTATTGCCTTTCCTGTTTAATTTCAGAATCCAGGAGAATACCAAGAATCTGTTAATACTGTTGGTTTGGCTGCTCGATCGAGGCATGTCTCTAATTTTGTACCTTCAACTCATAAACTTGAGACGCCAAAAACTAATGTTGACATGGAAGCCAAATTGAGATCTTGGCTAGAATCAAAAGGCAAGGCAAAGACCGCACAACAAAGACTTGGGCCATTTATATCTCCAATTTTGAAAAAAACTCCAAGTTCCATCATGAGCTCTGCCAAGAAGTCAGTTACTTTCTGTACTTCAGTGAATGTGGAAAGAACTTCCATCAACCAAGATGCTCAAAATACTACTGAAAGGTAACAAGTGGTCCTACTCCTATTCTAGCATATTAGAACTCATTGGCTTTCTGTTATTGATGTTTGTCTTATTGTGTAATCAGCAGGACCTTTGCTGATTCTTTTAGAAATTTGATAGATGATGAAGCTGCTTTTGATTCTTTCAAGGAGGTTAGTGAGTGTCACAAGTGAAGTACATGTACTAACAAGTTCACTAATAACCACTGATATTGAAAAAGACATGCATTATCAAAAATACACACATGGAAACAGTTGTCCTCATGAATATTAAAAATGTTATGCATTGTAAATAGTTGCATTTTTCTTGAATATATTAATAGTTAGTGCTATACAGGACAATGATAGGAGAGAGATTGAGCATGATGTCAATAAGGCGGCTGCATGGGAGACGTATCAAGATCTACCCAGTATGTCACTACTTTGCGTGATTCTTGTATTTACATTTATTCGACATTATGGTGCAAATAGACACTTTGCAGTTGAAATATCATATTGCATTCACCAACAGTTGTCTTTAACATTTGATGTACTGAGCTTAACATATGAACTATCCAATCATCATGTTGATTTACTGATTGTGGTGTAGTTCTGTTATTGTAGACAATTTGATCTTAAATATAACAAGACAGTTCTAGATATTTTTCATGTTGCACTGATTACTATTCAGTAGCCGGATAATTATAATTGAACCGTGCTTTCTAAAGCTCGTGTTTTTGTGTGCAGTGGAGCCATTAAGCAAAGGAGTGAACTCGCAAATTACAAATGTGAGTAAAGATGCAGTACCACAAAGCCCTCTGCTAGAATCAAAAGGCAAGGCAAAGACCTCGCATCAAAGACTTGAGCCATTTCATTCTCCAATTCTGAAAAAAACTCCGAGTTCCATCATGAACTCTGCTAAGAAGTCAGTTACTTTCTGTACTTCAGTGAAGGCGGAAAGAACTTCCATGAACCAAGATGCTCAACAAACTACTGAAAGGTAACAAGTGGTTCTAGCATATTAGAACTCATTGGCTTTCTGTTACTGATGTTAGTCGTATTGTGTATGCAGCAGGACCTTTGCTGATTCTTTTAGAAATTTGATGGATGACGAAGCTGCTTTTGATTCTTTCAAGGAGGTTAGTGAGTGTCACATGTGAAGTACATGTACTAAGAAGTTCACTAATAACAAGTACTATGCCACTAATATTAAAAATGACACGCATTATCAAAAGTACCTATGGAAACAGTTCTTGTCCTCGTCAATATTAAATTTTTTATGCATTGTAAATAGTTGTATTTTTCTTGAATATATTAATATTTAGTGCTATACAGGACAATGATAGGAGAGAGATTGAGCAGGAGGTCAATAAGGCTGCAAGTGATCTACCCGGTATGTCACTGCGATTCTTGTATTTACGTTTATTCAATATTATGATGCAAATGGGGATACTATGCAGTTGAGTGCATTCACCGTAACCAACCCGAATAGTTGGATAAACTAAAAATCATGCGACTCGTATTTCAATTGCCTTTAACATTTGTTGTATTGAGCTTAAAAGCTTAAAATATGAATTAACCGATCATCATCCAACAGTTTCGATTTCCTGATTGTGGTGTAGTTCTGTTAAGTAGACAATTTGATCCCAATATGACAAGGAAGTTCTAGATATTTTGCATGACGCGTTGATTACTACTCGGTAACCGGAAAATTATAATTGAACCATGCTTTCTAAAGCTCGATTTTTTGTATGCAGATGAGCCATTAAACAAAGGGGTGAACTCGCAAATTACAAATGTGAGTAAAGATGCAGTACTACAAAGTCCATTAAGCAAAGGGGTGAACTCGCAAATTACAAATGTGAGTAAAGATGCAGTACTAAAAAGTCCATTAAGCAAAGGGGTGAACTTACAAATTACAAATGTGAGTAAAGATACAGTACTACAAAGTCCATTAAGTAAAGGGGTGAACGCGCAAATTACAAATGTGAGTAAAGATGCAGTACTACAAAGTCCATTGAGAGAAGCCCTCACCCCTATCAACATCGATGCTAACTCCACTTTGACACAAACGCCTTTTTCTGCGACCTGCTCTACTAACAATGGATTGCAGCAAAATGGAACTCCACTTGACAAATTCAGTGCACGAAGTTCTGCAATGAAGGTATAGATAGTTGTGTTTTAACATATTAACCAAATGGATTTTGTGAATCTCATTTCTCACATATCAATTTTTTTCGATATGCAGAGTTGTCTAGTTCAAGAATACATTGATTTGTTAAATAATGCAAGCAGGTAAAGCAAACACTCGCCCTTTTTTTTTTGCATAATTTCTAAATCATACTTAGTGAACCATCTTTCGAAGTGCCTTAACACACTGTTTAATTCTTAAATGCAGAGAGGAACTACTAGAGTTAAAGGTACATATGCAGGGTTGCCACATAAGTGTCCAATATCAATAGGACAGTTTTTCTTTATACATTATTACTGCACCATTCTTTATGGTCTGTCTGGTTTGAGAAACAAAGTGAAGAGTATAGCTAGTTTTCTCAAATCAAAGTGTGACATAACATTTCTTCATTTTCTAATATTCGGGGTTCAATCATTTTATTCCTTCAGGGCATAGGAGAGAAAAGGGCAGATTACATAATAGAACTCAGAGAAGAAAGTCCACTAAACTCGGTTAGTATAAAAGATTATTCCTAACTTGTAAGACAAACACATTTAATTAATTCATCAAGATGATTTTAGTGATGCTTTTTTGTGTGGCATTTTGTAGTTAAGTGACTTGGAGAAGATTGGCCTCTCTTTGAAGCAAGCTAAGAACCTGTTCACCAAATCTGCAAAAAAGCTCTTTGAATATAAAGAAGATTCAACAATCGATTAACTTCCATTCTTAAATAGTACAACATTGTTTGTGATTTTCATGTTCATTGGTCTTTAAGCTAAGTGTTGTGTAGTTCCAAGTGTTGTGTAGTTCCTTGTTGTGTGATTTGTAGAATTGTTGCCACTAGCAACATATTTCAGCTTGTTGTATGTTAGTATTGTAGTAACAAGTGCTATCAGCTTGTTGTGTATTACAGTATTGTTGTAACAAGTGCTTATATCAGCTTGTTGTGTATTACAGTATTGTTGTAAGAAGACAAAACAGCAAAAAAGTATTTTACCCCGCATTAATAAAAAAGTGTGATTCTCTTTCAATATGTGTCAATTCTCAATGTGACTATATTCCATTGAAGTTACTCCCTCACAACAGGTGCATAGTTTGTTTTAAAATAAATATTATTTTACTTTTTTATGTATAATTATTTTTTCAATTGTGTGGTCTAATTAATATTAATATACTACTCTTAAGATATTTTATTTTATTTTCAATTTATAATGGTGAAAAATACACCAATAATTTATAAACACAGTTTAGCAAATATGTTTTTTTTGACAATTTCAATTTATGCACAAAATCTTTAAATTTAAAACATAGCATATATAAGATAAGTTAAGGATAGCAAAATGAGCTAATTCTCCTAAAGACAGAAGTTCTAAAGATTCTAAAGACTTGAAGCTCTAAAGACTCAAGGTTTTGATGAAAGGTTCTCATAACCAAGTGTTGAAGACTCTAAAGACGCAATTCTGAAGACTAAAGACTTGAAGTTCTGATAACCTGATGTTATGTTCTCGCTTCCAAAAGCATGCTCGCAGAAGCCTCTGAAGTGCATAAGGAAAGAAGATAACGTTAACATGGTACAAATAGTACATGGTTCAATCAACGTTTCATTCCACTACCATAAAAGGACGGATGCGTCACACGTTACTGTTCAAGCTGTCAAATGTTTCTGGAAATTCCAAGAGTATCTCTCAACGAATACATTATTTTAATGGCTATATAAAGACTTGAAGACTAAGAAAGAAAGTTGACAATTCACTGTATATTCACGCACAAACGTTGTTCACAACTTTCATATTCTTAAGTCACTGTTCATAAAATAGTTTACATACTTAGCTTTTTAGAATCAATACTCTTATAAACAAAATTTGTATTCAAACAGTTGTTTGATATTCCTTAAAGGGACTGGATAAGTCTGTAGCCTTAAGAAATCTAGAGCATGCGAGTTTTAGAAGTTGTTAGTCACTTGTCGGTAGCTTGTGCATTGTAATAATCAGGTTGATTATTAGTTGATATTCCTTAAGGGACCGGGTAGGTCTGAATCATTAAGAAGTCTAGGGCTTACGAGTCTTAGAGGTTGTTAGTTACTCGCGGGTAGCTTGTGTAAATTATAATCAGTTTGGTTATAGTGAATTAAGTCATCGATTGAGTGAAGCGAAATCACCTTGGCGGGTGGACTAGACTAACTTGATAATTTTCAAGTGAACTAGTATAAACATACATTGTTCTTTACTTCCTGTTCTTACTTATTGTTATTATCAAGAGTGAAGAAAAAACATTTTAACTTAAAGGGGAATATTTTTAAAAGAATAGTTTTGTTTTAAAAACCCAATTTAAATCTCCCTTTCTTGTATTTTTCACACCTTCAATTGTACCAGAGCTCCGATTCTGAGAAGATAAAAAGTTTGAATTTTTATCAACACTTAACAGTGTCCAGTACTGATCCAGTGTGTATGAAAAACCAATGGCTACATCTACATCCACTGTTGATAATAAGGATAATGATAGAGATCACTATAGTTCAAAACCTCATATGTTTGATGGGGAAAAATTTGACTATTAGAAGGATAGAATAGAAAGTTAATTTCTAGCATATGACTTGGATCTATGAGACTTGGTAGTTGATGTATACACTCATCCAATAGATGATAAAGGTCATAAGATTGCAAGAAGTGCAATGGCAGAAGCACAAAAGTAAGTATGTAGAAATAACTACAAAGCAAGAACCATTCTTCTATGTGCTATCTCATATAATGAATATGAGAGTATCACAGATAGAGAGACTGCAAAGTATATTTTTGATTCTCTTCATATGACACATGAAGGAAATGCACAAGTAAAAGAAACAAAGTCTCTGGCCTTAATTCAAAAGTATGAATCCTTCAAGATGGAAGATGACGAATATGTGGAAATAATATTTTCAAGATTTCAGATTCTTGTGGCAGGACTTAAGGTTCTGAACAAAGGTTACCCCGTCATAAATCATGTTAAAAAGATTATCAGAAATCTGCCTGTTAAATAGAGACCAATGGTAACTGCCTTAAAATTGGCAAAGGATCTGGACAACACCTCTCTTGAGGAGATGGTTAGCTCTTTAAGAAGTCATGAAATAGAGCTGGAACAAGATGAACCTCAGAAGAGGGTAAAAGCAGTTGCTCTAAAGTCTACTTCTGGGAAAATCAAGGCTTATCAAGATAAGGAAGAATCAGAAGAATCTGAAGAAGTTTCAGATGATGATGAACTCTCCTTAATATCCAGAAGAATAAGTGAAATCTGGAAGTACAAACAAAGCAAGTTCAGAGGTCAAAGAAGGACATATGGAAGAGGTGAATCCACTTCTGGTCATAGAAATTCTTTTGGAAAAGAAGTTACTTGTTTTGAATACAACGAACCTGGACATTACAAAAATGATTGTCCAAAGCTTAAGAAAGACAAGAAGCCTAAAAAGGCTTACAAAGCCAAGAAGAGTCTCATGGCAACATGAGATGATTCAGAATTAGAAGATGAAGTTTATGATGAAGAACATACAAACATGGCATTCATGGCCAAGACCAGCAAGGGAGAAACAACATCAGAAGACGAACTGACAATTAATTATGAGTCAGACTCTGATGACGACAAAGAGGTATTTTCTTATTTATCCGTTCTAAAGTTGAAATTGGTTTAACTGAATTAATAAAAAGGTATCAATCTCTTATAAGTAAACATAAAATCTTGAAAAAGAGTTTTGTGACTACTTCAGAGAACACTACTATAGATGAGCAAAGTATTTCTATCTTAAATGAAAAACTTTTTATTTTACAAAAATTAAATATTGCTCTGAAAAGTAAAGTGTCTAGATTAGAAGAAGAGATTCTCTCTAACACATCTGTTACTGATGAAGTAATAAGATATGATAGAGTTTTTCAACACTTCCTTGCTAAAAGCATATATAGAAGCAAAATGGCTTCAATGATCTATGGTGTTAGTAGAAATGAAAGCAGAGACTTGGGGGTATTCAGGACCATAAAGAAAATTGATGAAACTCTGGATATCAAACCAAAACCAAAACCATCAATGATCTGTTCTGTAGCCCAAACACAGACATAGAAGAAAATCTTTAAACCAAAGTATCATGCAAAAACTTCACATGATTATTCTGTTGCACGAAAGTCCAAAGGGGTCAGAACCTCTAGAACTTCTATCAAAAGAGAACCCAGAAAGTGGGTACCCAAGGATCAGATAATCTACATTACAGATCTCCTTAATGGCGCCATTAAAACACCAGTCATGGTACCTGGACAGTAGATGCTCGCGACACATGACACGAGAAAGGCATATGTTCCAAGATTTTGAACTTAAGTTTAGAGACGTCATTGGTATCCGAGGTAATCAGAAGGGGAAGATCATCGACTCTGGAACAATTGGTAATGATAAATTTCCTTATATTAACAATGTTCTTTTAGTCGAGGGTCTAATGCATAACTTATTGTCAATTAGTCAACTTAGTGAAAATGGTTATGACGTCATCTTTAACCAAACATCCTGTAAAGTTGTTAGACAGAAGGATGACTCAGTTTTTTCAATGGCAAGAGGAAGAATAATATTTACAAAATAAGATTATCAGATTTGAAAAATTTAAATGTAAAATGTCTTCTGACTGTTCAAGAAGCGCAATGGGTCTGACATCGACGTCTGGGTCATGTTAGCTTGAGAAAGATTTCTCAACTAAATAAACTTGGATTAGTCAGAGGCTTGCCCAATCTGAAGTACATTTCATATTCCCTTTGTGAAGCTTGTCAGAAAGGCAAATTTTCAAAAACCTCTTTCAAAACTAAAAAGATTGTTTCTACTTCTAGGCAATTAGTACTTATTCACAGTCAATGGTAAGAAATATGGACTTGTCATTGTTGATGATTACATTAGGTGGACATAGGTAAAATTCTTGAAACAAAATGACGAGTCATACTCTGGATTTTCTTCCTTCTGTTCCCAAGTGCAAAATGAAAAAGGTTGCAGAATAGTCGGAGTTCAAAGTGATCATGGTGGAGAATTTGAAAATAAAAGTTTTGAAAAACTTTTTGATTCAAATGGAATAGTACATGATTTTTCTTGCCCTAGAACTCCACAACAAGATGGGGTTGTAGAAAGGAAAAATAGAACTCTGCAAGAAATGGCTCGCACCATGATCCAAGAAACTCAGATGGAAAAACACTTCTGGGCAGAAGCAGTAAATACATCATGCTATATTCAAAATAGAATCTCCATAAGACCTATTTTGTGTAAGACTCCTTATGAATTGTGGAAGAATAATAAGACCAACATTTCCTATTTCCATCCATTCAGATGTATTTGTTATATGTTAAACACTAAAGAGATTCTGAGTAAGTTTGATTCCAATGCACAAAAGTGTCTACTATTATGATACTCTGAATGCTCTAAAGGCTTCAGAATCTATAACACATAATCAAAAATTGTGGAGGAATCAATTCATGTCAGTTTTGATGATAAGCTTGACTATGAAAAGTCAAAGTTGTGTGAAAAGCTTGCAGATGTGACTATAACATTCACTGAACCAAAGGAGAAGATTCAAGAAGATAAAGAATCAGAAGCTCCTCCTTCTGATGATGTTGATAGTCCTTATAATTAAACTCAACTAAAGAAGAATAAAATCACATACTCTCATCCTGAAGATCTTATTCTTGGAAGTAAAGATGCTCCAGTCAGAACAAGATCGACTCTCA